GGCGGCTAGGGGCTCCCATGGTGCCCCCCCCCCCCCCCCATGCAGTAGGGGCCAGTGGGGATTGCCCCCCCTGCCTGGCAGCACCCAGTGAGCATGGGCTTTTTTTTAAGTACAGAGCTGGGGCAGATGGGGGCAGCCATGGGGGGCTGGGGGAGCTGGGAGGGTTTGGGGGGGCTGGCATGGGTCCCCCCATGGTCCCCTCCCCTGCCCCTAGTACTTACCAGCTTGGAGTGGCTGGCGCTTCCGACTGCAGGCCCTCGGGGCTGGGCAAATACAGCCACTGGGGACTGTCCAAATCATCAAAGCTCTGAATCTTTGCTGAAGATTTGGAGAGCTTTGAATTGATTCGGACCTTTAAATTGGTCCCCTGATTAGATTTGGATTTAGAGCTTCGGCCACTGAATCAGGCCGAATCTCCTCCAGATTGAATCACCACCCAAAGCTTCGCACAGCCCTAGCAGGCAGTGGACGCAAGAACACTTGGCAACACCTTGGCAGATAGACACTTGGAACAATCCCATGGGGCAGGGAAAAGCAAGCTGAGGCTATTGAGGTCTTCTGACCCCACCTCTAAATCTGCAGCTGTCTTGGAGTTGACAAGTCTGACAACAGAACCAGTCATTTAAACTTGAGTGTATTTACCTTACCCTTAAAAAATAGCCACGAGTAGTACCAGGAAGAAGGAAAAAAACTAGTTTCCCTGCGTCAGTGAGAGGGGAAAAAAAAAAAAAGGAAGAATGGTCTTTTCAGAAATACTGGATAAGATTAGGCCCAGGTTCAAACCATCTCAGTTCAAGAAAGCAACTAGGTTACAATAACCACAGTCTATATTAGGCTGCCCACTATTCAAAGGGCAACTTCCTACATTGCCCTAATTGATCTGGTCTCCTGGCTGAGATACTGCTTGAAAAACCACAAGAGCTTTGAGTTGTATGTGCATCTGTTCTGCTTTTGTTTTTTAAATGCCAGGAGAACCACTGTTACAGTTTTGGTGTCAGCAAGGGGGATCCACTACACCATGAGAAACAGGAACCTGAGGGTGACAAACAAGCTATGTAATAAGGAAAGGAGGAACCATGCTCTTTTTTTTTTTTTTCAAATGTGAAATAAAAAGGAAAATGTGCTGCTGGGTGGGGGAGTGGGGGAAGAGGAGACCTTCAGATGCCTGTTGGCCTCTTTGAAAGGCATGTTTCTGTTCGGGTTCACCCTACAAGATGCGGCTTGTCTGCCAGCTGGAGCAGTGCTCCAGACTCTTCCCCCACAGTGCTCTACTTTTGTTTTGAGTCTCTACTTGGCTACAATCAGGTCCAGTGAAACAGGGCCCAACCTCCATGGCCTGATAGCAAAGTACAGTTGAGAGCTTTCAACCTGCTCCCTGCTCAACCTCACTCATCAGATCCTCTTCCCCTGAGGAACAGTAGTGCATGTTTGCAGGGGTCAGTTTCTCCCACCTGTTTTGTTTAGTAGATAGAGGTCTCTGTCCAGGGAGGTGGGGGGACGGCAGGCAGTGCTCTGACCGAGTCCTTCCATGTAGTGAGCTATGACTTGCTCGCCTTGTGTCTCTGGTTTATGGCAGATGGGTAGAAGACTCCCTCCCCCTCCAGACAGGTGTTATATCCTTTGAGTGGGTTTATTACCAGCTCTGCTTTGGATTTAACAGCCTCACAGACAAAATATAAAAATAATGTATACAAATTAGCAGTTAATGTTTCTTACAACTCTTTCTTAAAGGCATCTTTATAAGTTACACATTCATTCCCCCCACCCCCCATCCCTTTTTGTGATGAGCTTGTGAGAGTGATGCCAAGCAGGTGGCAGTCTTGCCTCTTAATTACAGCAGGAAGCAAGCGCAGCTCTGGCTTACAAATAAGGCTTGCTTCACTCTAAAAGCCTGGTCTAGCACGAGAATACATGGCAGCCACAAGCCCTGGATCAGGCTGGGCGGGCAGGTGTGGGGGGTGTAATGAAGTAGTAAATGCATCATGGAAATGGCTCCTACTCTTAGCAAGCATCAGCTGTTTAATTGCAATAGTAAGTGATTAGGATTCAGACATAGCAGGGTGGCTGCAGTGCATGGGCCCTGCTAACTGGGGACATAACCCAGCTGTATGCACCAGCACCAGATGTGCCTTTCTAAGGCTTTGATACTATTGTGTGTGCTGCAGGGTCTAGATGCACATGCCTGAGCTGCAGTGAGTACTGCACAGATGTATTACTGCAACTACCTGAGTGAGGCCACCCAGGCATCCTTGGGTGCTTATAGCTTTACTGGACAGTCCCATGCAAGCCTTCTGCACCTGGTCTCCTTGGTACTGGTCTGTCCTTGGATGCCCTGCAAACAGGCCACACCACTGAGCTGCTTCTGAGGTGCCATCCCAGCCATGGGGATGCAGACGGCTTAAGGTAAGTGCGACACCTTGTGGGGACACAGGGAATTGCAAATCCTTAACCCCACTGATTGTCGGAGCATCTGAGCCTGTTGGGGATCAGACAAGTGCTGCTCAACTTGGACCCAATGCCCAAGTGCAGAATGCAGCTGCATCTGCATCCTGAGACCCTGCACAAACAGCAGGAGCCTCCCTCGTCACTCTCCTGCTTGCCTCTCCTTGCCTACTTATCGCAGCATAAAGAAAATTTAAAGGAAGACGTATCCAGCTGCCTACATGTGCCAGCCAAGAGAGTTGGTGCAGCATTTGGTGGTAAAAGCCTTGCAATAGGCTCCAACCCTTCACCTCAGCCTAGTATTATCTGGTGGGTCCCCCCCTTTGCCTCCTTCCCCTTCCCAGATGGCTTCTAAGCAAGGGCAGCCCAGGCTTATCTGCTTGCTGTATGGCAGGGGGAAGGAATAAGGTTGCAGGAGGAAGGGCGCAGGGTCTAGCCTAGTGGCAGGGCAATCCCAGGGGGAGAAGAGATCACAGTTCAAGGAGCAGTGCAGCAGGCTGGTCCTGTACTTTGCCCCAACGCTGACTGCACAAAGGCACCAGCACACAGGGAGGCAGGAACACACTAGAGAAGAGCAGAAGCTCCCCCAATGCTCTTCCACCTGTGGCCATGGTCCAGCGTGTGAGGTGAGGGGAACAGGGACAGCGACCATGGAAGGGGCAGCTATTGCTCTCAGGAGCCTCAGCCCTCTCTGCTTGTCCTGTGGACCTCTGAACAACTGCCACATGCACTCTATTCCTGTCCCCTGAGCCTGGAGAAGGGGAGTAGTCCAATGGCACGGTGGAGCAGGCAGCTTGGACATAGCTGCTGTATAATACCTGGAGAGTCTGCTGGGCCAGACCTGCGAAGGGTGGGTGGGCTGGGGTGCAGGGGAGGGCAGCCCCAGCTGGCACTCTGCACAGTTAAGTAGCTTAAGAAGCTGCAAGTGGTGATTTCCCCCCTACTGCAAGAGTCCTTGGTTCAGTCTGACAGGTCTGCAGAGAGGCCTGGTCCCTGGGGTCCTGCCACCTCCTGGGCAGAGGCAGTAGTGATGGTGGGCCCATGCCATGCCTGCCCACGGAGAGGCCAGGAGTGGTCACAGCGAGATGTCAGAGGTCACCTGGAGGGTCTGCCCCGAGGATCGTTTCTTGCCACTGCACCTGGTGATGTCGGCGCGCCGGTACGGGTTGTTCCGCAGACCTGTGCCCAGAGAATACATGGAGCCTGGTTGGTGCCTGCTCCAGTCCAGCACCCCCCTTAGCCCTCTGAACATGTCTCCATAGGCTGACACAAAAGGAAAGTCACCTCCTGCACTGACTCGTAACATCTGGGAAGTCCTGCTGCCTCCTAGGCTGGGGCAGAACAGGCCCAGTCCTGCTTAGCTTCAGAGCCTAGAAGATCAAAGCCCATGGGACAGGGAGGTAGTGGATGTGCCAGCAAACTGGGGGGCAAGGCAGAGAGTGAGTTTTGGAGCCTTCTCTTCTCTAACCTCATACAGAGGATAAGGACATGAGCTGCTCCGACTCCAGGTGGGCAGAGGGGCTTCAGCCTGGGAGCTGTCCATATCCTTGAGCAAAAGGGCTGCATGAAGGGTGGGGGAGCTGTCTTACCTAGCTGGTTCCACACCCAGATTACCTTGCGGCAGAGGCTATAAGGGGCTCTCCTCATTGAAGCTGGCATCGCAGAAGAGCCGGGACGAGCGCTTGCCCGTCCGGGCCGTGAAAGGAACAGTCTTCAGAACTGAGCAGTGATCCAGAGAGGCAGGAGGGGGAGAAGTAGGGGGGAGAGAGCAGAAAGAGAGAGAAAGTGCAGGAGCAGGTAGTGAACTGAGGAATAGTCAGAGACAGCAGAGTGTGCGGGGAGAGTTTGGTCTGGCCTGGGAGGCAGTTGTTTTGTACAGGGCAAATGGCCTGAGTGTCCCTTTCCAGCTGCTCCACCCATCCAAGCATCCAGCCCTGGGTTAAGAGGTCTGCTCCACTGTGATGGGGATTTGCAGCAACCAAGAGCTGGGAAGAGGAAGCCTTCCTAAGGCCTTGGCATGCACCAGCAATTAATCCAGCTAATTGTATTGCCCCTGCCAGACAACTGGAGCACTCCTGGCCCCCTCCAACCCTTGGGACCAGAGGTGCCAAGTACATGTGGGCCTGAGGGCCATGGCCCCCCTTGGGAAGAGGGCTGTTACCTGAAATGTGTAAAACTTTCCACGTGTCCATCATCTTAGGCCTCTCCCCCCCACAAAAATAAAAGTCAGTGCCTATGCTTGGGACACAAGGACACAGTCAGATCCATGGCTCTGCTCTGCAGTGCAGAGCCTAGGGGGCTGAAGCCCAGGGAGACAAAGTAATAAGACAAAATACATCAGCAAGGCTGAGAAAAGAGACAGCTGGATCCCAGATCCTGGCTTTACCTACTAGGCAACACCCCTTAATAATTCTGGGTGGCTCACCCCCCTTGCCATCTCTGGAATGCCTACCCTCCCTTGGCCCCCAAATGCTGTACACAGGACAGGCAGCCCATGACAGACTGGGACAGTGGCTACAAGAATAAGTGAGGAAGGCAGGGAAGGGTTTGGAAAGGGGCAGGAGCATGGCCTGCGAGCAAGGGGCATGTGGGACTAACAGCCATATGGCAGGCACATCCCAAAGAAAACCCAGTAATACACCAACAGGTACCCCACACCACTCTCACCCTGACCTAGCACCCCACCCACAAGTGTCCCTTTGCTTCTGACCCACTAGGCATCTGCCTGTGGGGTCCAACTCCCACTCCACCCCCAAGTTCAGGGGTTGTCCCACCTCACCTGTAATAATGTCCTCAATTGCACCATCTTTCCCCTCATAAATGAGGGGCTCTTTCACCATCTGCCTCTTCTTCAGCTCAGCAAGCATGTCCATCTGCTGCCGCTTGGCTTTCTGGACAGGAGACTGTAGCAGCAGTAACAAGAAGGAAGTAAATGGGGGTCCCCTGTGGCATCTCAGAGAATGTGGGACATTTCCCATGGACCCAGGCATCTCAAGGATGGCACCTCCTCCTTTGAGAGATCCTCACATACTTTACAAAGCCAGCACAAAAAATGCTTCACCCACTATTCAGATGCAGCCACCTCTGGGGTGAAACTTGCCAGTTTTCTGCCTATTCAGCAATGCTACACAACAGCTTAAGGCAGAGAGTGAAGAGGAAGCCAAAACCAAGGAATTTTAGGGAGATGCAACATGGTGTTTTGTCAGAAGGTGAAGGCAGAAGCTCTGGCTCTGGGAAAGGCACCAAAAGGGCTCTCAGACCCATAGGGGCACAGAAGCTTGGTTTCACAACCATGGG